CCAGGACAACACTTGAGCGTTGATGAACCCCTTGTTCTTTTTAAGAGCAGTTTGCACTTTCGTCAATATACAAATACAAAAAGAGCACGATTTGGAATAAAATTTTATGAGTTGACTACAGCTGATCGTATGACACTTAATTTCCTAGTGTACTGTGGTACTGGAATGTATGACGATGACAAAAATTCTACAATGCCTTCAAGCCAACGTATACCAAATGAGCTGACAGGACCATTTCTATATAAAGGCCATACCGTGTTTACTGAAAATTACTATACAAGCTCTTTCTTTTGCAAGCTTCCTCTTGTCTAAGAAGACTTATATTTGTGGAACTATTTGCACAAACCAAAATCACAACAAAAAAGAGATATTCAATGAGCAACAAGCAAAAGGGCTTGCTATTTTTTACAAAACTTGCGGCGAGGATAATAAAATGTTAGCCTGCAAATATTGTGCAACTATAGGCAAACTGGGTGACAAACAAAAGGTTGTTTACATGCTGTCGATATATCACAATCCAGTGATTGTGGAAACAGGAAAATTTGATAAAGATGTTAACATTGTACTCAACCCGTCATTAGTCAAGTCATACAATATGCATATGGGTGGTGTTGACCGGGTAGACCAGCAACTACATGGAGTTCTGACCCTTCAAAACTCCTATAAATGGTAAAAGAAGTTTGCTTTTTGTCTAGTTGTTTAATGTGTTTCAAATTCACAAAAGATTCATACAAATATTATAAACAGACACATTTTATGCTTGGTTTTTTGCTGAATTATTTGAAAATGACACTTTTTCTGGGCTCTGAGATCCCTCACAACCTTTGTCTTGTTGTTGGAGAAGATTTTGATAGACTTACAGCCAGACACTTTCCTTCAATGTTGCCACCAGGCAAGCCAGGCAATGGTGATAGGCGCTACAAAAGATGTTGTGTTTGTTATGCAGAAAGGAAACTGAACGCAAAATGATACCCTTTGAAAACTATTTTTTTTTTTTTTTTTGTAATTTCTGTTCATCACTACCTGGGTTACATCTTAATGAGTGTTTTCAAATTTATCATACTGTTTTGGACTATTCCTAAAAAAAATTATATGAATGTTTACTCATACATAAATTATTTTCTCAACTCAAATGTGTGTATAATTTATTTAAGGAAATCTTTCAATTTATTGGTGCCCTTTAAAAAAGTTAAGTATCCATTTGATTAAATTATCAAGTTTGTTTAATTTATTTTTGTTTTATCACCACTATAAATGCCTATCTTATTTAATATGAAAAAACTATAAGTTTATGAATTATTATATTAGTAATTTAGGATTACATTAAAAAATTATATACTTTTGTTTATTCAATATGTATAATTTCGATTATGTGACTAAATTTTTTTTCTCACAAAAATCAAGGTCATATTTAATATATTCTGAAAAGAAGTTTTTTTTTTATCTCCTTTTAATTGTTCATGATCCGAATTCTTTATTTTATGCACAGTCATATAGATGTTTTAATCTCAGTCGCTTTCTCAGGATACGCGTACGGTCGTACACCTTGAATGACCACGCGAGTACTTTTTTTTTGTTGATTACTTAGCCGCGTTTTTTTTTTTGCATATATTAAAAGTGACGTATTTTAAAAACACTTTGAAAAAAAAACCTAATTTGGAATATTATTTTCTTTCTCTTATTAATACTTTACTAGCTGGATTGACCCATAAAAATAAGGGTCTTTGTAATTCTATTCCATACAAACCTTTTCCCTTATTTTCTTAATCTAGCTGTCCGTATCGGTAAATACAGGTCTTTTCTTCTACTTCTATATTTATTTATTCCACGCCAATCATTTCTTTACTTGTTCCTTATTTACTTCAATATTTTTTAGTAAACGGTGGCAAAAAATTGATCAAAAAAATTTGCTTTGAGAGCAAAAAAAAACTTTAACATGCGCACTTTTTCCGCATACGTATATAGCTTATTAAACCCCGTTTATTTATTATTTTTTGAACAAAAAATCTGAACTAAACTACTTCCTACATTTAGACCAGCCATGGACCATGGTTTATGGTCGCGTCCTAGCCATTTTCAATAGTTACTATTTACTATATTTATTATTATTATTATATGCTTAGTTTTGAATAATAACGGTCTTTTATAGTTACCTTTGTATTAGACGGAAACGGTAATGCAATTCTTTAAAACGTTAGTCGCTTAAAGCGTCAAAAGTCATGCAAAAAAATAAATTATAAATTTTGTGGTTTAAAAGTTGAAAAACTAATAATAATATAACAAAAAGTTTGGTAATTTTTAAACGTTATTATTTAGCTCTTACTTATGGTATTTATTTTGTTTTCATTTTACATTTTAAAAAAATGTTGAAGCGCCTAACTACATGCATAACTTTGATAGCTCACAAGTTAAGTGCGCTGTCATCAGATTTACTGTGTAAGGCTTCAAATCCGCGCCTAAAAAATCTCAATACATTTTTTTTAATCTGGCTATATTTATAGCAAAAAATTAAATATAACAAAAAACTTTTTAATTGCTTTTTTTTTCCCTGCCTCTACTGCAATACCATGTGGAGTAGCAGGACAGTTTTATCAAATTTTTTCTTTATTAGGTTTTAGGACCTTTTTTTTTAAGACTATCCGTAGCTTATTAGGACCAATTATGTGAGAACAGTATCAAAATCGTGACACACACGCAACAAATTTTCGCCCCGTTTATTGGTGTTTTTAGAAATCCAAAAAATTTATAAAATTTAAAAAGAAAAAACGGTTAAAGTGTATAACATTTAACTTGTTTAACTTCACAAATATTTTGTAATTTAAAGAAAAAAATCGCTGGTGGTAAATTTGAACCACGACTATTACGTTCAGAAGCTTAGCGCGCTAACCACTCGGCCATGCTGACACATCAAATATCGAAATTTTAAAAACATATAAAAATTGTTTTTAACGGAATTGCTGTAGATCAAAAATTAAGGAGAGGTTGACGCAATGCAATTTTTAAGTCAAAGTCAAACTATAAAACTTGAAAAATGTTTCAGTATGTTTTATCATTACTTAATTACGTACGTTAGATATTTGCATACACGTTTTCTTCTAAAAAAAGTGCTGCGACTCTTTCTACTAACACTACTATTAAGTTCGGCATTATTATATAGAAGATAGATAGATTATAAAATAGTTTTTCACTTAAAAGGACAAACTCTATTCCACATTAACCTTATCTCTATTTCTCCCTCAAATATTTTTTAGTGAACAATATATTATGTGCTAGAAAAAAAAAATTCACATATGCACCTTTTGCGTATATTTATATTTAGAGCTTAACATGAAGAAGGTAAATCATTTAGTTCAAGACAACCTGCCCAAACCCAAATCCTCTGTTAATTTATGCACACTCACTGTGGTTAGGCATGTAAAATAAGTAGCTAGGCAAGTCAAATAAATTAATTTGATCTGTTTTTCTGCATTTAACAAAAACAGAAAATTTGAAGTACTTGATAAAAGGAAGTGTAATATTGGATTTAGTTAATTCAATACAAAGTGATAGGAAACTGAAAAATAAGGTAACAACGTAAAAATTATTCAAATACTAATTTACAACAATTTGTATTGCGTTTTATTAAAATAGCTTTATTAAATGGTATAAAGATTGATAATTCTTCTTCTTCGCCTTTAGAAAATGGTTAACGATTTGAAAGACTTTTAAATTGATTATAAAAGCATTATCTAAAAATGAAATAAAATCATTATTGATAACACTGAATGCACATTTATTTGTTTTATGTTAATTCATTTGAGAAATGAAAAATACGAAACAAAATTTAGTGATATTAAATAAATATTAGACACTTACTTTGTGAGAGTGCTTATTTAAAAGTCTCTAATATTTGGTTGGAAGGATGGAATAACTCTTTTTTTAAAAAAATTCAGTTTTATCAGCATTGCTAAAGATAAAAATTCTTACTGACACAAATAAATTAGGCATTTTTTTTATAAAATATTTCTTGGCTTTTAGTGAATGATTAGGAGTAAGTTTCAGTAATGAAGCTACCCAAAAGTCATTTTTAACGATAGACACCAACGTGAAGGTAAGCCAAGCTGTCTATCAACACAAAACATCACAACAACATTACAGGATGACAAACAATAACACCAGTAGTGTAGGCAGGATTTTTGTTGTTTCATATATATATTTAGAAGCTATTGAAGAGTTTAACTTTGTTATGTCTAAAAAAATTCAGGTTAGGAAAAACACTTTTTTTAAACATTTGTTCCTAAGCTTTAAAAACATCAATTTTTTGCAAAGTATTTTAATTCTATAAACGTGAATACACTTAAGTTTGGTTGAAAGTGCTATCTGAAGCATCAAAAGACCCTGCCTATGCTACTGAATACACATTATGTACAAATATTTGTACATAACATATTTGCACATAACACAAAATATTCAGATTATGTGTATTTAGAATAATTAAAAAAGCTAGACAAAAAAAACCTAGCTCAACACCGCTTCGCACTAAACGCTGCCAAGTAACATTACAATTTAGTAACACCGCTTGGCATCAAGTGCTAAGTAACACCACTAATTAGTAACACCGCTTGGCTAGCAAGAATCACAATCTTGCACTACACGTTGCCAAGTAACACCACTTTTCACATGGAAACAACTTAATATAAACTTGTATAAACTTAAGCACATAAATATAAATAAAGATATATAAACGCATATAAACACATACATTTATATACACATATAGCAAAAAAAAAAAAAAAAAAACATACAAAAAATATAAAACACATATAACACATAATATACTTGTCAAAATTATAAATTTAGAACATTTGTAAAGACAACATTATTTGTGTAATGTTTGTTAAATGACATACCTTGTAATGGATGTTTATCAACTTTGAAAAACAAACTATTAAATGATCTTGTTCTTGAACATGCAACATATAATTGGCCGTGTGAAAAGCAAGGTTTTTTGAGATAAACACCAACTTTTTCAAATGTTTGACCTTGACTTTTATTTATGGTCATTGAGTATGCTAACCTAACTGGAAACTGACGGCGTTTAAGTATAAAAGGTAAATTTGCATCTGATGGAGCTAATTGAACTCGAGGAACAAATACCCTGTTACCAGCTGATATACCTGTTAAAACCTCACCATCAATATAATTGTTGTGCAATGCATGCACCATCAAACAGGTTCCATTACAAAGTCCACCTTTGAGATCTAAATTTCTAAGTAGCATTATAACTGCACCAATTTTTAATTTTAGGCAATGAAAAGGCATACCTGATGGAGTCAAACTATTTAAAAACTCAACTGTAAAGTTATTAATTTCATTAAGGTCATCAGTATCAATGCTATCTGAACTTAAATATGTTTTCACATCACCGGGTAAGCGATGAAGGACTTCTTCATTTATTGCCAATGAATCAACATTTGTTGGCGTTAAAATAGCACGTTTTGCATAATCAGCTTCTTCTGCACCACCAAAAATCTTCTCCACAATAGATTCATTATCACTGAGAAAGCACTGCTCAGGTATTTCAATACACCCTCGCAAAGGATCTTCAGGCTTGACAGGTAATGTTCCACTTCCAAGCTTTAAAAGCCATTGAGAAAATTCCTCTTCTTCTATCTGAACCCTCATGTTTACAGTTAATGCGAACCTTTGCACATATTGCCAATGTTCAGAACATTTTAAACATGATTCTATTACTTCTGCTGGTCGACCTCGCTTCACAACTGGAAGTATTTGTCTGAAGTCTCCACCCATAAGAATAACCTTACCACCAAAAGGAAAGTTGTTATTACAAATATCTTGTAATAGCTTATCAATGGCACTCAAAGCATATTTGGGTATCATAGATGCTTCATCAAGTAAATACAAACTGATTTGTCTCAGGAATCTACCATGAATAGAGTTTGGAGTTACATTACATGTGCTAGTTTCCAAAATTGGAACAGGAAGTTTGAATAAGCCATGCATTGTGCACCCATTTTTGAGAAGAGTTGCAGCTATTCCTGTCCATGCAGCTGTTGCAGTTCTAGTATGCCTGCTCTGTGTTTCAGAAATTAAATAGTTGTAAGTAAATGTTTTACCACAACCGGCAGGCCCATCCATAAAAAACAGCCTTGAATGCTTATTTGGTAAGTAGGTTCCACACTTAGTGCAGCAAGGATCGCATCAGCTACATTACGTTGATTATCATTCAATAATGGTCTAACTCGGTTTGCTTCATCAATAAACACCTGAACATCTTCATCAACATTTTCTGGGACATTATCTAAAAACTGATCTAAAGCTGGCAAATTATAATCAGCTAAGGTTTTATCACTCTGATTAATTATAGATTCAATTTGACGAAGAGCTGCCTGTTCAGCAAGTAAGACTGGCATTGAATGGTGTATGTAATCCTCAATCATATAATTTTTAAATGTATTCCAAAGGTGTAAAGGATCATCAGGTTCACATAAAATTAATATGATGCAAAACAGTAGCCTAATTTGTTTAGGCATCCGAGTTGCAGCAGCTTCAGTTAATGTATTTCTCCACTCAATGTCATCTTGCAATAAACTTAAATGATAACATGCTTCACGAAATGTATTAAAAACAGTACCATGAACAGTACGCAAATCCTCAAAAGACTTTGCACCTTTTACATGCAAAAGTAACAACCTGAGAAAAAATAATTCGCAAAATGAACTGACTTTATACATTCGAACAACCACCTTATCACTACCTCTTTGTTTTACTTTCCACATGCAATTTTTACCAAAAACAAAGTGATATGGAATTTCCACATAAGAATACTGACGTGCTTCATTATTTTCAGCATTTATAAACAGCATTAAACCAAGCGGTTAGGTGAGTGTCACGCTGTGCTGCACGATCTATAGCTACTTGTTCTTCTCCTTCGTTAAAATATACTCTCTGATTATCAGGAAGGTGGATTTGAAGGCGGATAACAGTATGTGACATATCACTTATGGAATACTCATATATTCGCCAAAGAGCCTCTGGGGCGGAAACAAAGCGACAGTCTAAATATGTGTTAATTTCATCATGGTCTACACTTTCATTAATTACCACATTCGCACAATCATGCCCCTTATAGACATATTTGTATAAATACTTCACTGACTTAATAGACATGCAAGCTTCAACATTAATGTGGGCTTGGTATTTTTTTGATAACCAGGGGTTATAGGGTACGACCCATCGATTATCAACTTGGTTATCTTTTATAATGACTACTCTACCATTATCTAAACGCCTGTAGTTAGGATAACCATTGAAAATTGCAACAGTGCAAGGATTAAACTCTTTAGGAAATTTTTTGTGCAAACTCCATCTTTCATGCAAGAAGAATTGGGATTTAAAATCCCACATGGTCCATGAATCATACATGTTTTTACAATTTCAAAAAGTTCAGGATCAACAGTTTGATCTGGAGTTTCAGCTGATATTAAACTATCAATATCCTCTGCTGTTTCTAGCTTATCATCGTTTACAAAGTGTAATAAAATATGCACATGTGGCAAACCACGTTTTTGAAACTCAATAACCTGTACATGACTTACAACTTTGCCTAAGACTCTATGTTTAAAAAAATCACCTAAGAAGCATTTAAGTTTCATTTTAAATACGCGACAAACTAAATCAGGCCTGTCAGTTGCGCTCTCACCTGGATTTAAGTTTTCTGTAATTTCTCTCCATTTCGAATTACAGGTAAAAGTAATAAAAAGATCTAGTTTACCATATTTCTTTATAATTGCCATTGCATCTTCAAAATTTTCATTTAAAGCTCTTGGACTTCCAACATATGAGGATGGTAGTATAACAACACGACCCGGTCTTACATTAAGGTTATTTGCAACATTATTTACATACTAATGTAATGTATCGTATTGTTTACTTCTATGTTTGTTTTGGTTATTTCTGATAAAAGCAAGGCGCTGTCCTTCAATCTTGACATATACATCAACAGCATACTGTTGAAAAAGTTTCTTACCATAAAATATAGGACTGAACGTTTGTCTAATAGAAAGCCTATAATTGTAGTACTGAGATAAAGTAACACGATTTCGAACACGTGTTGCTCGGTCAGGATTGTGCTCTAGTTGATCATGCCATCCTGCATCACCTCTTGGAAAAAATATTGGATATATCATTAGATCTAGATTTGCAGACATACTTGAAATTGTTTTTAAGGGTTGACCTCGAGGATAAATAACAACTTCTCTAGATGGAGGTGGAGCACCATCATTTCCTACAAACACAATGGCAACCTCTTCATGTGATGGAAGATTGTATCAACGTCTATCACAACCCTCAAGCAACGACATTTTGACAACAGAAATCGGTCGACCTTCTATAGCAGCTTGACGAATTTCTGCATCTTCAACTTCTGCCATGTTTTTAAATGCAAGCGCATATGGGTTCTCCTGATTACTTATAGTCTGCAAAAGTTCCATTAACTCACGTATGCAACAATCATTTTGCTTCATTCGAAAGTTTAAAGCAGTATTAGGATCATAAACATATAATTGACAATAAGCAGGTGGATCCCCTTGCTGATGTCTTAGATTACCAATACGATGCATAATTTGCCCACTAATTCTAAAACAGGGTGGACCACGATTTGACGGAGGATCTATTGTGGCTATGAATGAAGCAAAAGATAGACAGGCATTATAATTTCGTATATGCTTGAAAATATTTTGATTCAAAGCACGATCAACATGGTTGCCTGTCATTAAATCAACCATCAGCGGTGGATAAGGTGAAAGTGGAGGTAAGACAACCTTTTCTGAATGGCAGCACAAAAAATGTGTTTCATTTAAAAATTTTATAGCACCACAACACTGACAATTATGGTTCATTTCTCCTAGGTAATTACTCTATATAAAAACATTATTTCTTGCTATGCAATGCATTCCACGCCTAAATAATACTCGTCGAGCCTCATTTCTTTCATTTTGGTGACGATTAACTTCTTCACGTCTAGCCTCATTCCTTTCATTTTGGCGACGATTAACTTCTTCACGTCTAGCCTCATTCCTTTCATTTTGGCGACGATTAACTTCTTCACGTCTAGCCTCATTCCTTTCATTTTGGCGACGATTAACTTCTTCACGTCTAGCCTCATTCCTTTCATTTTGGCGACGATTAACTCCTTCACGTTTAGCCTCATTCCTTTCATTTTCGCGACGATTAATTTCTTCTCGCCTAGCCTCATTTCTTTCATTTTGGCGACGATTAATTGCTTCTCGTCTGGCCTCATTTCTCTCATTTTGGCAACGATTAATTTCTTCTCGTCTGGCCTCATTTCTCTCATTTTGACAATTTCTTCTATTTTCAGCTCTTAAGTTACTTGACATAATTGAGAAATTATTTATGTTTGATAAAACTTTATCTTAATAATTTTTTGCTATACTAATCTAAAATGAACAAAAACAATAAAGTGCTATTTATCAGTTTAAACCTATGAAACTATGTGTATAGCGTCTAATAAAATTTGTGAACAAAAGATATAACTAAACTGGTTTGAAACAGAGAAAAAGCCAGAAGTATCTCGTAATAACATACTATATTGTAAGTAATAAAACAGTATTTTTTGACACAAATAAAAAATTTTATTATTTTAAAAGTCATATTAATGGTAATATTGAAAAGCAAAATTAGTTACACATTTTTAAATGACATGCCAACAATTGCAAACATGTTGCATCATATAGACTACATGTGGCTGACAACTGATTTTAAATACTATTTTATAATATATCTAAAGAGAATAATGTAAAGAGATTAATATGTGTATAGTGCATATATTAGACATATTAAACAGATATCATAGAAAAAGAAAAACTTTAAGTATATTTACCCAATCTTTCAAAAACTATATAACACTTAACAAATAAAAGTTAATACAAAAGAAAATTTAGTATTATTAAAATTAAAAATGAGGATAAAAATATGTAAAAACGTAAATTAATAAAAAAACTTATAGACAAATTATTAAAAACTTTTATAACATAATTCTAACATTATAACATAAAACAGAGTTCTTTGTTAGTTTAGGATTTAAAAACAAAATTAAAAATCAAAAAAAAAAAAAAAAATAGTAAAAGTATATAAATTAAAATAATAAAAAATTGCGAAATTAAAAAAAACATTTTTTTTAAAATTCAATTTTCTTTATAAATAAAAAAGAAGATAATTCTACCAGTAGTTTAAAAAAGCTACTGGTAGAAATTAAAAGAGTTAAACCGCTTTCCAGCACCCCTCCTTCTACAAGTGGTGTCATATGGGGCTTGTCTCCTCCATCTAAAGGAGGGATCATCTCCCCCATATTGACTCCACCGGTAAAAAGCTCTTGAAGATATTGGACCTGGGTGCTGGGAGCGATATTGCAGGAAATATTGATGCGATGCTAAAAAACAAAAACAAAAAAAGAAATAAATTTGAATACAATACTGCACAAAACAACCAATAAAAATATTATCTAAAACTATTAAGACTTCAAAAAAAAAAAGTTATGACAAAAAAAATAAATAAATAAAGTAATGTAAAAATAAGGATATGCAATGCTTAAATTTCATATATACCTACACAAATACACATAACACCCACAAAACTGCATAAGTATGCAAAACAGATTACCTGATGGTCCTGCAGATATTGTTGCTATTATGGAAATAAATAAAAAAGTATATGAACTAACACATATATTAAACAATTATGTAATTGCATACAAACATGAAAAAAGTAATGTTTAGGTTTCAATACACATAACACTGCATAAATACGGAAAAACTGCATAAGTATGGAAAACACATTACCTGGTGGTACTGCAGTTGATACTGTTGCTATTGCAGAAATAAATAAAAAAGTATATAAACAAACACATGTATTAAACAGTTATGTAATTGCATACAAACATGAAAAAAGTAATGTTTAGGTTTCAATACACATAACACTGCATAAATACGGAAAAACTGCATAAGTATGGAAAACACATTACCTGGTGGTACTGCAGTTGATACTGTTGCTATGGCAGAAATAAATAAAAAAGTATATAAACAAACACATATATTAAACAGTTATGTAATTGCATACAAACACGAAAAAAGTAATGTTTAAGTTCCAATACACATAACACTCATAAAACTGCATAAGCATGCAAAACACATTTAAAAAAATTTAACACATTTAAAAAAATTTAAGTTTCAATACACATAAAACTCATAAAACTGCATAAGTATGCTAAACAGATTACCTGATATTATTGCTTGAGGTGTTAATGTATAGACAAAAAAATAAAGAAATAAAGTGATGTGCAAAATAAGATATGCAATCTTTAAGTTTTACATTAAATTACATCATTACCTGATGGTACTGCAGATGATATTGATGCTACTGTGGAAGTAAAAAAAAAAAAGTGTATAAAGTAACATATGTGAAACATTTATGTAATCAGGCCTTGCGATAAAGCGTCGGGCGATGTGAATTTTACGTCGTCCAAGAGCGATTTTGCGTGTAGCTAGGGCTATTTGCGTCGAGCAAAAAATTTTTTGTTTGAGTATATTTAAAGATATTTTTGAGCGGAATTTTAATGAAGTAATTTACAATTATTTTAACATTTAATAAAGTATTTTAAAAACCGCACGCAGTTGAAATAAAAGTTTGAATTAAAAAAAAAATTAAATATGCTCATTATTTACAAGTAAAAAAAATTCAGATTAAAAAAAAAGTTTAAATCTTTTAAGCTAACATTTTAATAAAATTATTCACCAATAGCAAAGTTGTCGATAAAATTGAACAAAAATACTTTCTTTTAGTTTTAGATTTTAAACTTAAATAATTATTTTACGGGGGTTTGTTAGGTTTTAAAATAAAAGATTTAAAAATATTCCTTAACTGTTAGACGTATTTAAAGTATTTAAGAGTAATTTCGAGGTAACATTTTAAAAATTGGTGAGCGCAAATAAAAAAAAAAGGACTAATATTAAAACGTATTCTACTTGATTCAATAAAAAAGTACAGTAATTAAAATTTTTGTAAAAAGTAACTCAAAAAAATTACTTAAATAATAACGATCGCTTTTATGTTAAAAGTTACCGAAACTCAACGCAGCGTGCTTAAGAACAGCTGCTGAAAAATAAAACGTCAATAGTTTTTCGAATAATTTTTAATAATAATTTTTAAGCATACTTTTTTCGCTGAAATATTTCTTTTATACCTATAAGATTTTTATTCTAACATTTTATTTTATATTACTTGAAATAAAGTTCCTTGTTAACATTAAAAATCTATTCCAAACGTTTGTTTAAGTTTTTTATTAATACGAGTGATTGTGCTTATCAACCGCTTTATGAAAATAAATAAAAATAAATAAATATTATATA